CCAAGCGTTACTAAACAGTTGTATATAAGCTAAACCTTAGCAACCGCATGTACTGTCCAAGCACAGGGCCCGGAGGCCGTCATGACCAAAAGCTCGGTCCGGACCCGCCCCCGTCCCCAGGCTTCCAGGGGCCCGAAACTACGGTCGGACCTGGGACAGAAGAACATCCTTCAAGAACATGCGACTCTCCGCCGGCCAAAACACACAGAACATCCAAGGAAAACCTCCCCGAGATGCACAAGAACATGCGACAAGCACGACGAACATCAGGACACTCTCCCCGAACTGACCCCGATCCTAGACCTCGGTCCGACCGTATGGGGTCTGGTGCTCTTCTGCGTCTTCGGCCTCCAGGAGCCGTTTGCAGAAGGACTGGTCGAAGATAGCTCGGAATGAAAAGGCAGCCCCAGGGGAAGGGCCGACAGGTCCTGGACACCAAGAATCGAACAGATCAAGTCATATGAGGTATGAGTACCCAGACCTGGCCGTACGAGTTAGGGCGAGAGGGGCTGGCTTCTTAAGGAGGCGGGGGAAACATTAGAATGGACCGGAGGCTCCAAGCATGGCTCCGGACAAGGTGGAGGTGGAGGATGAGCAGGGTGACGAGACGGAGGAGCAGGAAAAGGAGCAGGGCGAGGAGTTCGAGGAGGACGAGGCGGAGGTGGAGGAGCAGGGTGACGAGTTGAATGAGGAGGAGGAGGAAGGTGACCAGAGAGGACGACGAGCACCGGGCCTCGGGATCCGGCCCCGCCGGGAAGATCCGGGAGGCGAAAGACGATGCGCACCCTTGCAACCTTCGAAGTCGGTCTTACCTTCGGGTATGCGTCACTGGGTGGGCACCAGGCAGGGGGTGAAGCAGCGCGCACCGCTCGCGCACCTGTTTTCGCCCCCCCGGTGGCAGTGGAGGGAGCATTTGGGGCCCCTTTTGGCCTCTGGGCCACTCTCCTGCCCTCCTCGATGCCCCCACGTCTCTTGCCCCCCCGTGACCGTCCGCCCGCTGCATCCCGAGCGCGAGGAGGGGGCCCCGCGCGCCCAGCTCTCTCAGAGGCTGGTGGACGTCGACGGTCAACGGTAAAATAAGCGCGCGCGCGGCAGCCAGCTCTCGACGCTGGCGGCGGCACGAGGAGGCGCGAGCAGGAAGCACACGAGGGCACCTGGACTGATCCTGGAGGACAACATCGGGACGAAACCCACGCCCGACGTGAGACGGCGGTGCGAGGAGGCGCAAGCGAGGAGCATACGGGGGTATCGGAGCTCCCCTGTAGACCAGCATCGGGACGAAACCCACGCGCTCCCCCAAGACGCCAGCTCCAACATCCCGAAGACTGTGCAGATGGGCGGACATGTTTCCTGCTCCTCCTCCACCTCCGTCTACGATTCCCGCTCGGCTCCGCGATGTAGTTCAAGGCCGCGAGCGGGTTCGACAGTTACGTAGACGCTGTGCTGGAGCACCTGCTAGGGCTTGTGCTCTGATGCTGGAGTCTCTGCCTGGACGTGCGATGTTGCACCCGCCCTCGTGCTCACGCGGTGTCATCTGTCAGACCTGTCACGGGTAAGACTTCCTGGATGCGAGCATCGGCTGCTCCCCCGAAGCAAACTGACCTTGCAGCCCAACAAACATCGCCCCAGATACGAGACGTTGAAGCTCGGCACTCCCGTGGAGAAGCCGGTGTGACTGTACGGTCGGTGAAGCACGTTTGCCCCATCACCATCACCACCACGACCATCATCATCATCATCATCATCATCATCATCATCATCATCATCATCATCATCATCATCATCCTCATCATCCTCATCATCATCATCATCATCATCATCATCATCAGCTTATACATCGATGCCACCACACTCGCAATGCCAAGCACTGCGAGCACCTCAATCTTCATCTTCGCTAGAATCACCGGCATCTCAACATCATCACCACCACCACCCCGTCTGCTCTGCCGCCGGAAGTCGTTCGATCCGCCACTGAAGTGGCAGAACGACAAGCGCTGTCTGGTAGAGTGTATTCCGACAGAGGCCGCCCCCCCCGCCCGCGGACTGCGGTGTGCCTCGCCCTTGCTCCAGAGACCACGACCCCGCGGGGAACCAACAACGGGATCCGCGCTCCCGAGGCCACGACCCCGAGCACAAACACGGGAGCCGCGCCCCGAATTTCCCGAGATGCCCCGGATGCCTCGAAGACAGCCAGAGGTGACTCAAAGGAAGCCGTCTATGACCTCAAGGCGGCAGAAGATGCCGCTGAGAGGGCCCAAAAGGGCCACGAGAGGACCTCCAACATGGTCCGAAGAGACCAGAATCTGTGGTTTCCCATGGGTTTTGAAGGGTGTTCGCACGCGCGCGTTTTCGGGCTTCTGCGAGCTCACGACGGCCCAAGAAGCCTCCATGATGGCCCCAAGAGGCCCACAGGAGGGCAGCAAAAAGACGCAAAGGGACCCCGCGACGGACTAAAAGAACCCTTTGACGAGCCAAGACAGCGCCAATACGGTCCAACGACTGCCCCCAGACACCCACATTCGGCCAAGAGGGCCCCAAGACGGCCCGAGAGAGCCGCCAGACGGCATAAGGAAGCCCCAAGACAACCCAAGAGGGCCCCGAGCGGCACTCAAGACGGCCTCACAGGAGGCCAAGACAGCCCCAAGACGGTCCAAACGAGTTCCATGAGAGCGCATCACGTAGAGAAGACGAAAGGTGCGCGGCGAGAGGATCGCGGGTGGGTCGCGGGTGGGCGGTGGGCCCGGTCGCGGGTGGGCCGCGGGTGTGTCGCGGGTAAGTCGCGGAAGGGTCGCGGGGCGGGCCGCGGGGCGGGTCGCGGGGGGGTCTCGGGTAGGTCACGGGCAGGTCGCGGGTGGGTCGCGGGTGGGTCGCGGCTGGGTCGCGGCTGGGGGTCGCTGGGGGGAACGAGGACAACCACAACAACAACAACAACAACGCAACGCAACGCAAGGCAAGGCAACGCAACGCAACGCAACAACAACGACGACAACAACAAGCAGGATCCGAGCAGCGGAGTCCCACTTCAGCCACGCACCCAAGGAGAATGAATGACCGTTCGGCCCCGTCACTCTGAAAACGGCCTTCTTTTTCCTTTTCCTCCTCCTGCTCCTGCTCCTCCTCCTCCCCCTCCTCCTCCGTATTATCATCGTCCCCTCCTCCTCCTCCTTCTCCTCCTGCCAATCCGCATTAGCATCAGCATCAACATCAGCATCATCACCAACACCATCATCACCAACAACAGCAGCAGACTCTTCATCATCATCCGCAGCAGCATCATCCTCAGAATCGTTGTCACCATCACCATTATCACATTCTTCTTCACCAGCATCATAGCCATCGTCATCATCATAACCAGCAGCATCCTCCTCCTCATCATCTTCATCATCATCATCCTCATCGTCATCAACGCAGCATCATAATCAGCCCCATCATCATAAGCAGCATCCTTCTCCTCATCATCTTCATCAGCATCATCATCAGTATCCTCCTCATCATCAGCAGCATCGTCATCATCGCCATCAGCATCATCATTATCACCACCAACAACATCATCACCAGCAGCATCATCGCCAACATCGCCATCATCATCATCATCATTATCATCATCATCAACATCAACATCATCATCATCATCATCATCATCATCATCATCATCATAGGCATCATCATCAACATCATCCCCGCCATCATCATCGCCACATAATAATCATCACCATAACTGGCATCACCATCATCATCAACATTATCATCCGCATCATCAGCATCATCACCACCACCACAATCATCACCATCATCACCATCAACAACAACACGGCTCTCCCAAGCGTGGAGAAAAGAGGTGCCACAAGTGACTGTCTCCTGCACCCTCGTAAACAATCGCCACTCAGAATGCTGGTGAGGCGGCCCCAGCTTCTCAGGGCGCAGGCCTTCGCCCCTTGCGCCACCCAGCTCGACGGCCCAAGATATGTCCAAGACTGCCCAATACGGTTCCATGACGCCTGAAAACGGGCACCAAGAGTCTAAAAAACGAACTCGTCGAACCACCTACGCCCAGAAGGCAGGTGTGATTGCGACCTCGCGCAAAAACAGCACTGTAGCACTGGACCCAGTCTTTCTACGACACTTCTCGAGCTGGGTCGCTGCGTGAGGGTCCCAAGGCTGGAAAGAGGGCGGACCTGCTCGGTGCGACGACCTAGAAGCCCACCGTGCTGCAGCTCGGCCGCACTCATCGAGGGCGCGCTGGCGCTCGGACGCCGAGGGCTTGGGCGTCCCAGGCGCGAGCAAGGAGGCAGCCCGCAGGCAGCACCGCGGACCAGCGCCTGGTGGGCCCTGCAAAATGGCTACGCCCTCTGCCTGCAGCGGTCCGGCGCTCCCTCCGCGCGGAAGCGGCTCAGCAACGAGCACGGGCAAGCGCAGGACGTGTCGCGGACAAGACGCTGGTCTGCAGCTGGCGCCGGTGGCGCCGATGGAGCGCGTGGCGCCAGTGATACCGCTTGTAGCGCGGGTCGCGCCAGGCGCGCCGGTGGCGGTCGGGCCGGGCGCACAATGCGCGCCAGTGCGAGTCGCGCCGGTCTCGCTGATGCTGGTCGCGCAGGTCAGCTGTGGATCTGCCCCCTGAGCGAGGCTCTGGGAGTGGGCCGACACCAGGAAGCTGAAAGCACAAATGGCCCGACTGGACATGCGTAACATTGCCATGGAGTTCAGAAAGGTTTCTATGAGGAACCCACGCTGGTTAACTGATGTGCTGGGTCACGGACAATGAAATTTCGACTTGGCTGTTGCGGCATGAATTGTCAGCGTGCCTTGCCATTGACGGCCCGAACGCTAGAAAGGCGTGCGGCCCCATTGTGCGTACAGCTCTGACCCAAGCAGGCCACGGCATTCGAAGGCAAGCCCTCGTGAGAGAACAAGGCCAAGCACAACTTCAAGTCCAAGATTGTCATCATCACCATCACCCTCAATCGTCGTCATCGTCATCATCATCGCCGGGCCCACCCCGCCATGTGACAAGTATAGCCATCCCGAGGGCGAAGAGGCCAATCTCAGTGTCGTTGCGGAAGGTCTGGCAGCGTCCACGCCAAGCCGTCGCCAGACCCCCTTCTCTCTGATCCCCACAGCACACCGACCTGAGAGAAAGAACAATCCCATTGACAGACACTGCCCGAGATCCGCGCAGACGCCCCTCCTTGGTGCGAGGGGCGCGGCACGAGCGGCGCCGGAGGCGCCACCAGGGGGCGTCCAGCGCCAATCCAGGAAGAAGTGGGCGTCCAGCGCCAATCCAAGAACATTTAGGGTTGCGCAATTCCCAACCATCCTGCCGTGCTGGATCCTCGTTTTGAAGAGACAGCGCCCCGCGTCTCCTCTCCCACTTCCTCCCCCTCCTTGCCTCGACCCTCATGAGTGTGCGCCTCCCCCACCCAGCGCCCTGCGTCCCTCCCTCCCTCCCACCTCCTCCTCCCGCCTCCTCCCTCCTCCCTCCTCGACCCACTGCTCTCGCATGCGTCTCCCCCACCCAGTACAGCGTTTCGTGGCCCCATGGGGAGCTCCACCGAAGGTGATACCCACAACTGCAATACCCACGTCTGCATTTGGTTGGGTCCTTCGCCAGGCTCGTCCCCCCCATAGGGAGCGCCACCGAGGGTCACAGTGGCTGCACTCGCCTGCTGTTCCCCCACCCAATACAGCTTTTCGTGGCCTCATAGGAAGCTCCACCGAAGGCTCCTGCTGCTGCACTCATGTGCAGTTCCCCCACCCAATACGGCGCGTCGTGGCCCCATGAAGGAGGCCCCATCCATCTAGGAGGCCCCAAGCCGGAGCGACACAGCGATTGCACTCGCATGCGGCTTCCCCATCCAGTACAAGGTTTCGTGGCCCCGTAATGGAGCCACACCGACAGCCCCAGTAACTGGACTCGCATGCGTTTCCCCCACCCAGTACAGCGCTTCGTGGCCCCACAGGGGGCTCCACCAAAGGCACCAGTGGCTGCACTCGCATGCAGTTCTCCCACCCAGAACAGCGCTACGCGGCCTCATAGGGCGCTCCACCGAAGGCCCTAGCGGCTGCACTCGCAGGCGCTTCCCCCGCCCAGTACAGCGCTTTGTGGCACCATAGGGAGCTCCACCGAAGTCCCCAGTGGCTGCACTCGCGTGCGGTTCTCTCGTCCAGCACAGCGCTTCGTGGCCCCACATGGAGTTCCACCGAAGGCCCCAGTGGCTGCACTCGCATGAGCTTCTCCCACCCAGTACAGCGCTTCGTGGCCCGCTAGTGGGCTCCATCGGAGGCCCCAGTGGCTGCACACGCATGCGTCTCCCCCCGCCCAGAACAACGTTTGGTGACCCCACAGGGAACTCCACTGACGACGATACCCACAACTGCTATACCCACATTTGCAAATGAGTGGGTCCTTCGCCAGCATAATTTGCTGATCGGTATTTGTAAGCGTGAACCCTCAACACTGACGTATCGAACCTTCGAAATGCATGCCATATGGTGTAGTGGCAGCGGGACGGCAACGGGCGGCAATGTTGCGAATCCTTGAAATACCCCCCGAGGCGCCAACAAGCGGCAACGTGGCACATCCTCGACCTACCAACCACGTCCTTAGGGAGACAGGTGAGAACCCCATAAGTGAAAGCACTGCCTGTGGAACGCAAGCAGCGTTCACATCCCAGCCCTCGGTGGCAACTCATCGGAGCCTCCCCTACCTTCTAGATGGCCGACGGCAATCGGCGCTGATCGACGCTAAATCGACGCTAGCCGACGGCAATCGACGCTAAATCGGGGCTATCCCATCGACTACCTACCGCTGATCGGCGCTATTCGGCGCTATTCGACGCTAGAGACGGAATTGAGACGGCGTACAAGGAAGGCTCCAAAAATTTGCGACCGAAGCAGGCAGCGTTCACGTTCCAGTCGACGAGCGACGACGAGAAGCGCGACTGTCTCCACGCACTCGCGACCCGCGCACTGGCGCAGGGCAATTCTACGGCCTGGGCCGCGAAGAGCAGCATTCCCTCGCACATCTCCGCGGGGAGCGTGGCAACACGTGGCGTGGGAAGAAGCGAATACGGTGAAGGCAAAGAACCTGAACCCACGAGTCACGAACAAATTACGATGGAAGGTGTCTCGCTATGTTTGGCATGTAGAGGCCCTTGCCGGGCCCAGGGACCGTCAAACAACAACTCGTCATGAAAAACCCGGCCCCGGGGACTAGGCCGAGAACAATGGGGATCCCGTTTTTGGAAAAATCATAGCATCGGATGCTTGGAAATAGGGAACCGTTGGATAAGGAATCCAGGGTCTGGACGCCAGTAGAACTCCAGTCGTGGATCGGCAGTGTGGATACCGGTGCCGCCCTCATCAGATCAGGACTCCTGCAGCGTCTGGGGCCTCCTGGGCATGAATCTTAGCGAACAATTTCGCTGGTATGTGCACTCCTCGGCTACTTGCAGCCTGCATCGCTTGGACGTCTATTCCCCGTGCATTGTATGGCTTCGCGCGTGTTGTCTCGAGGTGGTCCTGGATGCTTCCGGATAGTCCAGATTGCCTGTCGCTGGCCTCTCCGGGAAAAATGCAAACGTCCCTGCGACGCCAAAGCAGGAGTGACCCGAGGCAAGCGTCGCACTGGGTGTGCGGCTTTGACGGGGCGCGGGGAGCACAAAGCAAAGAGCGCAGCGCTGCTACAGGCCTCGGAACACATTAGCGAACACTCCTGCCACGTTCCTCTGTCGACGCCTCCCCCTCCCCCCAATGCTCAAAGTTGGCGATGGGTCTGATGAGATGCACTTGGACCGCAGTCTCCCCCGCGCGTGCCAACATTGAGTTTGGGGGAGCGGGGGAGTGTTCAGTACAGTCGGGGCGTTGACCTAAGAAACCCAAAATAAGGAACGAGGCCCCTTTTCTCCAGAAGCTGAACTTCGATTTCCGATAGAAGACATAAGGAAAACCTGAGGCAAACTGTGAGACACTTAAGGAACGCGGGACCCCTCCGCAACGAAAGGTGGTCCTTCTTCAGGGCCCCGACTGTATTTGCTTCCCTCTACCGTATCACGTCACTCTTCAGCGATCGGGAGGCCCCGGCGGGCCCGCACCGAAGATGTCGCTCCGGCGACGGGCAGCTCCTGCGCGCAGGAGAAACACCCGCTCGACGACCACCTATATTTATATTGGCGGCGAGCAAAAGGGGCTAGGGGGAGGGGGGAAGGCTTCTTAGAAGCACCCTGCTTCTTAGAAGGCCTCGGCCTTACGTCTATAGAGAAGGCCCGCGCCTTCTAAGAAGCAGGGGTGCTTCTGAGAAGCCTTCCCCCCTCCCCCTACCCCCCTCTGCGCGTTGCCGACTATAGCCTCTGGCAGACCCTCCGGCTGAGCCTGACCATGCAAGGGATTAGAAGATCGATGCTGTGGGGCACGGCGGGTCACGAGGCGGACACGGAACCAGCGTGGGCCGAGGGGTGGGAACCTCTCGATGCCCGTGCCGCCACAGCCGCGAGGCCGCGCCTCGGCGCATGCAGGTGACGCTTGCCCTCACTCCTTCTGGAGGAACTCGGAGAATTTCGCCCCCGAGAGAATCGCCTTGGCCTGCTTCAGAGCCTCGACCTCTTCGTCGCGGGCGGTCTGGCGGAGGTCGAAGTTCTTCATGACGAAGTCGCAACTCTTGTGGAGCTCCGCGTTGTAGTTTGAAAGCTGCTCCAGCTCCGTGACTATTTCCTCCAAGATCTCCTTCGTCTTCACCAGCTCGCCCTCGGTCTTGGCTTTCTCCGCCGCCTTGGTCGTGATCGCCCTGGACTTCATGTCGATGGATGCGTTCGTCGACTCCACGAAGGACGTGTAGGCCGCCTGAGACTCCTGCTCGGCGGCGATGGCCTCCTTCTCCATGGCCTTGGCGTCCTCGATGATCTGGGTGATCAGCGACATGACCCCGCTCGACCCGGCGTGGTTCTTGTACTCCTTGAAACCGGGCGGCGGCGGGGGGCCCACGGGTTCCTGTCGGTGGCCCTGCATGAAGGCGGAGGCGGCCGCAGCGGCCTCCTGCTTCCCGTAGAACTCCTCCAGGACGCCCAAGGCCGCCCTGAGCAGCTTCTGCGTCTCGCGCTGGTCGGCAACGGTCAGCTGAAACTCCTTGTTGGCGGCCTCTCGGTCCTCGCCGGCGCGCTTGAGCTGCAGCTGCATCTCCGCGATTTCGGCCTGGAGGGCCTCGATCTCCTCTGACAGCCTCTTGATGGTGGCCTCGAGCTGCGCGATCTTCGTCTCGGCGTCGGACTTGTCGCGCTCCTTCTTCTCCGTCTGCAGCTGATTCTGATTGAGCTCGTCCACGCAGAAATCCTTGTGCTTGATCTCGTCCTGCTTCTCCGCTAGCAGGGCTGCGATCATGTCATCGATGGCCTTGGAGGCGTCACGCGATGACCCCGACTGATCCATGATCTGACCCCGATCCTGATCCCGATCTATAGCTCAGCAGGTCACCGCACGATCCCTCCAGCCCGGTCCTGCGCCCAGATCCCCATAGGCCCGTAGCTCGGCGAGCCATGGAACACGACCCGTGCCCCGACCGACGGATCTGGGCCGTCCAGGCCAACGGCCTTCTGGACGCGTACGAACGCATCAAGACGCACGCGCACTGCCAGGGACGACAGGCGCGGGCTGCCCAGCTTCTTGGCCGCGTCGTCCAGCAGCCTCGAGGCCTGGTCGCGGCGCGCGGAGTGGGCGGCGGCTGCGCTCTGGAGCAGCGCGGTGCCCGCACCGCTCGCGGCCTCCGCCGGGTTGAACGTTCGAGTGAAGAGGTCGTGCGCGTCGTCCCCGCTCAGGACCGCCAGCGCCTTTGACACCGCCTCCATCTCGAGCGAGCGCGTCTTCTGCCGCTGCTCCCACTCCCTGTCGGTCATCGAGCACTTCTCTTTCAGCATCATCAGAAACTGCTCGTCCGCGGACAGGGCCGCCTTGGTGTCGTCCAGGTCCTCCTTGTTGTGGGCCAGTCGCTCGTCGCACTCGGCAAGCTCCTGCGTTTTTGTCGCAATCTGCTCCTCGCTGGCTGCGATCTCTGCCTCCTTGGCAGCCTTGAGATCCTCGTATGCCTTCTGTGCGGCCGTTTCCTTCTCCTGTGCGTCCTTGAGATCCTTCCCGAACTCCTCCCTCATCTGGTTTAGGATCCCGAAGATCTGGCCGGACTGGGGGGCGTAGGACTGCTTGAAAGTCGGCGTGGCATCGAAGTAGTCCTGAGGGGACTGAATGAAGCTGCTGGCTACCCGGCGCTGCGACGGTGTAAGGACGCCTTTCAGCCTGTCGGAGTGCAAGAGCATGAGCTTTTGCAAGGTCATAGCAATCTCGTTCATGCGCACGGTGGGGACTTGGATCATTGCGGTATCCTCCGCGCCGTGATGCTTAGAGAGCACCTCGACAGCCGCCGACAATGCCGAGATGGCCTCCAACAATCCTTTCTCTTCGGAGTTGAAATCCGCGATTTCCTTTTCACGAATCGCGGTGGCCTCTTCCAAGGCCTTCTGGGCCGCAGCCACCTCCTCCTTGTGCTTGACAATCTCTGCATTCAACTTGGCACTCAGAGCCGTGTCCTCCTCGATCTTCGCCTCCAGCTGCTTGATATGAGTCTCTGCGTCGGCAATTGATTTCGTCTTATCTTTGTCGTTTGTCTCACACCAACACGCCATCTTATCGTATACCTCTTCATCCATCTCGGCCTCTTTCTCAAGCTGCTTCAGCATGTCTTTCAGGAGAGTGATGACCTTTGAGACTGGCCGATTCTTGGCCGTCGCCGCATCGAAAGACAGCGACGTGCTCGCCGTGAGGGCCAGGGCACTGGAAATAAGCAATAACCGAAACATGCCCAGGGCCTGAATCGACAGGATAGACAATGAACTAAATTGGACACTGCGGAGATGATACCTGTGGCTGCGATCGCCAGAACCTCGTATCTTGAACCAGCATGGCGATCAAAACCAGGGAGCAGGCGAGCAATACAATCTACGACCCCATAACCCAACACAAACACCACCAACATCGAAACGACGTGTGGCACGAATCATTCGCACTCTTCCGCTACTCCAACTCCTGCTACTGCTGCTCCCGCTGTGCGAGTTCTTTTGCTACTGCACCTGGAAAGACTTGGGGGGTGGTGCCGTTACTATGCTGAAGCAACTGCGGGTACCTTGAAGTCTACTTCTTCTGAGACGGGTATTGCTGTGGCTGCCGTTCCTGCGACCAGTGCTCTTGCTGCAGCCACAGCTCCCTCCTGCAAATGAAGAACGGTACTGATCTTGGTACAGTGTGCACACTGCGAAAACAGCAAATGTGTCTATACACTTGGTCTCCCTACCCCGATGCGTACGGATTCTGGTGCACTTGCTGCCATTGCCACTGGAGTTGCTAGTGTTATGGGGGATTGTACCTATAGGGCCAGTTCGCAGGCGCGACACAAAACACTTTGGGACGTTTGAAGTGACTAGGCCAAGTGTATAACGCGTCCATTCTTTACAACCATTATAACTCTTCTACTCCTCGAGAGTGTGATAATTGCTCTTTCGCTTCCCCCGACTTCAGCTAATATGAGCCTCTGGCGCTGCTATGCATTCCAAGCCTTTGAGTTCTTCTATTCTAGACCGTCCAATCTCAAACCACCCCAACTCTCCAAACTCGCACGAACCTTAAAACTCGCATGCCTTCACCAAAACCGTGCAACTCTTACCCTCTGAACCTGTTGATTCTCGTGTCGCGACGGCGGCCCTGGCGACGCGCTATGCCTTGCGAGTGGAAAAGGTTTCGATCCGCTCCGCGGGGCGGGAGGTCGGTAAAGGCTCGGGACGTCAACGCTTGGTGACTGAGACGAAGACAGCGTGAGGCGCCGAGGCGTGGTGGGCCAGACTCAGCGGCGCGACATGCTAAATCAAGACTGACCCTAGGGGGCGCAGAAAACTGCAGATAATGAAACGCTCGAAACTCCGCGCGGATGTCTTAGATCGGCGCTGGAAACCCCTCCCGGGCGCGCGGAGCGCGCCAGGTGCGGCGCCGGAGGCGCCGCCAGGGGGGCCCAAGGCCAAACCAAAGAACCCGCAAGGAGTTCGTAAGGGCGGTTGTTTGTTCCTCGATGGCCGCATGCATCTGAGCGACGAAAAGAGGCGGGTCTTGCGCGAGAAGGCAGGCCGACAACGTCCGCTGGCTTGCGCGGACTGGCTGCCCGGCAGGCTTCAGTGGAGACGAGGGCGCTCACGCGTGACCTTACGCGGGAAGTCTGCGCGCCGACGTCGGCGAAGCCGGCCGTCCCCTTCTTCTTCTGTGAATGGGGCCCTGGGACATAATCAAAAATACACACAAATTACCGGATCCCCCATATGTTCCCATATTTTCTGGGTTTTTGTCTTCCCCCCCACTTTTTCCTGGAATCGACGATATTGTTCCCAATCTGTCTTGTCTTCCCCCCTTTTTTTCCTGTCTTCCCCCCCGCGTTCTCTTTACTTTGACCGGATTCCCGATCTGTTCCCATCTTTTCGCATATTTTCCTGGAATCGACGATGCATTGTGTCTGTGTGTGCTTTGTCCCCTCCGGATGCTGCGCCGCTCACCCGAGGAAAGACGCTGCCCGTGGCACGCGCGTGCCAGGCCGCGCGGCGGGCAGGGCTGGCCTGGCGCTCCACGCCCTGCACGAACGCCTCCGCCTCGGCGCGCAGAGGCAGCCGGGGGGGGCGCTGGAAGTGCAGATGGCCAGACGACGATGGACAGGAGGAGGGAGGGAACGAGGGGGAATATATACCGAGGCGCTTCCCTCCGTTCCCAACCTTGCGTCCTTTCACCCTCCCCTTTCTCGCGGGCATGGGCTGATAAAATCCGCCGACCCCTTGTGGGTCTCTAGGCCTACGAGATTCTCCCCCCTGCCCATAACACCCCCCCTGGGGGGGGGCCCAAACCAGGATTTTGATCCTCCCCCCGCGCCTCCCCAAGTCCGCGGCCGAGCTCATCAGGGGGGGTCCGGCCTCCCCCTGGGCTCTGGAGTTAGGAGACAGCCCCTGAGGCCTCCCGACGATCCCCCAAGACGGTCCAAAACAGCCCCCAGTTGCCGAAAGACCCTTCCAAGACGCCCCAACTTGCCTTCGGACGCCCCAAGGGTCCTTCAAAAGTGTCCCACGAAGGCCCCAAGCAGCAAAAACCGTCACATTCCCTTCGAGCATTCATCTTTTAACAGCTTCGCCTCTGCAGTTTTCAGTGCATCACTGACAGACCAAGGAGCCTCCAGGAGACCCCCGAAAAGGGCTGCCAAGAGGGCCCCAGAGGGCTCCGGCTCCCAGCTGGACACATAAACATCCAAGACAGCACGCGAGAGCGTCAGGATGGTCCGACGACGAAGTCCCAAAGGGAAACACGTACGGAAACTTTGAAACTTCGGCGCCATGACGGCGCCCGGCTGCTCCAAACAGGCCCCCGCAAACCCGAAAAGCCTTGCAAAGACCCCAAAACCACTCTGAACAACTCCACCCCCTCCCCTGGAACCTCCCGAGAAAGCGTCCCGTCCCCCGAAAAGGGTTCCCATGTGATCCCACGAAGCATGCCTGAGACGTGGACCCGCAACCACCCCAGGATGGTCTGACAGCCATGAAGGATTGCACGGCCAGGGGACCCACATATACAGAACGAAAACACGGTTCGTCCCGAACGGGTGCCGAATCGGTCCGACAGGCCCGAATAAACCGAAGACCGGATCCTCGTTGTCCCCACGTCTCCTCCTCCTCCTCCTTTTCCTACTTTTCTTCGTCCGACTCCTCCTGGTCCTCCTCCGTCTTCATCGCCCCTTCCTCCTTCTGTACCCCCGTGCGGCTCCAAAATTTCAAACGCTGCTACGAGTGTTTCCGCGGGTTTCGCGCGCGCCTGGCACTTTAGCGCGCAGTCTTGTGGGGACCCGCGAAAGCCGGTCCAACGTCGAACTGAGATCTCGGGAGCGTCCTCTTGCACGCGCCGAAACACTTGCACAATGGCCAATTCCGCGACGTGAAGCCGGGGTCCACGCAATCTGCACATACAACGTTTCTTCTTTTCGTCACGCTCTCAGTTTTCTGCGCGCCACTGATGTGGTCATGCCGAGGGAACTCCTTCTCGCACGCTTCGCGCGTCAACTGTCATTCCAAACGCTTCGCCGCATCGGCCATTCTTTACGCGGAGATTCCCCTCTCCGAAAAGTCGGCTCACACCACTCGCTCGCTTACTTCTTCCCGATGGTGTTCCTTTTGTCTGGCAGACAGGTACCAAGCGCCCCAGAAAATTGCCCCGCAACCAAGAGCGCAACAAGTCGACGGTTTCGCTTCTGCGTCTGCTTTCCATTTTCGATCATTTTCGTCGCGCGTCGACCCTCCGCTTTTGTTGCACATGTTCTGCTAAATTTCTCGCCCACGCATTTCATCTCCGTCGCGCGTTCTTTGTACGGACGGCTTGCCAACCGTTCCTCGAGCTCATAATTCGCGAGCGCCTGCGCCAGCGGCAACCGCCGACGCCGCTCGCACTGGGCTTGCAGCGTCATATCCGCCCCCGTACTCTTCGCAATCCGCGCTCTCCCTTCGGAACACCTGCAACAGCTTCTTCGCGCTGGCCATCTCGCCGTCATTGTGCGGCTTCCTGTCGGAAGCGCCGAAAGATGTATACACGGTCTCGCATGTGCACGCGCGCGGTGGCAACGTAACCGGACATCCAACTCACGCCGCGCCCTCTTTCAAGGTCCGCAGTGTCTGCGGCCATTGTTCGCCCTTGCGCCGCGTGCGCTGTCCCTGCCAAGACGGCGCGGTCATAAACTGAGCGCTATTGACACTCAACGCTGGAAGCTTTCGACACCCGTCAAAGAAGCACTGGCGCCCATTCAATGGGAAGATTGGGCGCGGCACCGGTTCCCAGCCTGGCAGACGCAATTCCTGCGGACTACAGTCTAACACAATCACTGTGGACAACTTCAGCAACACCTCCTCGTCTTCATCCACCATCCATGAATTGTCGCCGTGCGCCCCGCAGAAGCTGGTTCCTCGACCGGTTCAGGTGATCTCCCAAGGCAACAGGCATGCCCTTCGCCAGCGGCAGCTTCCCCGGCAAACGTGGTCACTGCTTATCGTGGTGCCCCAGCCACCGTAGTTTGTCCTCCACCGTGTACGGCCGCCACGGCGCCCACCCAATTGCACGGGCGGTCTCCTGCCGCGACCCAGGGCCGCTGCTCTCATCGTTCTGTCGCCCACAGCGCGACTCTCTGCTTCCCGACGTGGCACTTGAAGTCCTGCCCAGCGTAAATTGCGACGGTGCCGACAAATCTCTTCTCGCGAAATCGCGCGACTTCAGGCGGCGACGCGACTAATGCCCTCTTCTCTTGCTCGCCTCTGCGAGCTTCGCACGCCAACCCGTTCTTTTTGGCAATGCCCTCCGCGTTCTCTCGGCAACGAACGTCGCCGCACTGCGCTGCGCAGCTCACCCACGACCCCGGCACATACGTGGGTCTGCCGTGCAAACACGCGCGCGTGCGTGCTGTCAGCGCTCCTCGCCGAAACCTATCTTGCACGCCCAGGAACTAGTCGTCTCGGTCCTCCACGCGCTTGCACTCCGTCGGCTGAGTCATTCTCTGCACTGCCCTGTGCCTCCTGCTCCCCAGAAGATTTGCTGCCAGTGGTCCTCGGTGGCACCCGGAGCACGGATCGCGACGCGCCGGACGGCGCCGCCAAGCCCGACCAGCTCGCGATTGTGGTTTTTTGAGGCGTGGGTGACGGCCCTTTTCGCCGCGCACTCGTGCGCGGCGAGCGTCGCCGCCACCGAGAAGCAGCGCCCCCGCCGCGCACGGCGACGGGCAGCCCGCAACCGCCTTGGCAGCACCGTCGGCTAGGCGGTTCGTGCGCAAGGCCACCGCGGTTTGCAACATGCCCGTCGGAATCTGCGCCGATGCTGGCAACGGAGACGTGCGCCGGCATCCAAGTGAGCTTCCCGTCCGCTGGCAGCTCCGAGGTGTCGCCTTTTCCGTCCAGATGCGTGGGCGCCCGTGACGGATACGGGCTCGTCACAGTGGTGATGGAGAGCACGAGCGTCACCGCCCAGAGCTGCGCGGCCGCCGCGAAGAGGACACAGGGAATACACACAACGCAGTCGCTTGCGACTAGGTCGCCCTGGTCGGAAACGACCACGACGCCGCATCCTGTGCACTGGCGTTCCCGAAGCAAGCCGAACCTTATTGACCCGTCGGTGTGCCAACAGAACTCGGTACGTATCTCGCCTGGTGGGGCACAGCGAGCCCCTCCTGCACCACTGGCCGCGGCAGCCGAAAAGCGAGCAGTCCGCGCGTGCGAAGCAGCGTCACGACGGCCTCCAGGAATGCGGACACGAGATCCAAACACGATTTGGGCGGCTCGGGCCAGTCGGCCGGCGGTAGCGAAGCAGCACAACAGCGGCGGTGCAGGAGGGCGCCCGGCACCTCGCCGCACAGCTGGCAGGTCAGGCCGACGACGCAGGCACCCCGCATCCGAGCGAGGCGCACCTGGGGCCATTGGCCGCCAGTGGCCGCCGACAGGAGCATCGAGTGGCACAGGGCAGGCCTCTGCAGGACTTGGCTCCTGGCTCTCGCGCAGGCGGGCGCCCGTGGCATTTGAGCAGACGCGCCAATGGGCGCCTCACGAGGACTGTGAGGGAGTCAGCGCCCAAGTCGGTCGGCAGGTGGCTTCGCTCGCCATCTGCCGACAGGCCTGAGCACGGCTGCCGATGACATGGCTGGGGAAAAGAGCAGGAAGTCAACCGTCTCGGAAGATCCGTCCAGGAATCGTCGCGGGGAGGAACACGTCCAACCGAGGCGCCGCGCCGTGGCGTGGACAGCGGCCACAGGTCGAGCAACAGCGGACAACGGCGACTTGCCAGTCGCCACAACCTCGTCCAGGCGGGTACAGGACTCCTCGAATACGCGGTCGAGCTCCAGGGATGCCCACACTTGCCAATACGACAAGCCCCATATGACATATGACGGAGGAGCATCAGCTGGATCCGAGGCGGCAAGGCGGCACCCCTGGCATTCAGAACAGCGAAAACGATGTCGGCGTTGCGGCTCGCGCCGGGCAGCAGAGCGGCGCAGAGGGCTGCAACGCAGACATTGTGCAGATGCGTGCTGGACGCTCCAATGATGTCCACGCCGTATACCATGCTGGTACTGCTGAGGCCTTTCACCACCTGGGTGGCGTCCACGCGTGAACGGCGCCTGGTATGTACTCTGGGCATGCGCATTGTGAACTGCTTGAGGCGTGCCCAGCATCTTCACGCTGCGCTTCGGCACCAAGAGCAGCGCCAGGACATGCGGGACAATCTGGCTGCAGGCTCGGCCTCGACGCGACCGCAAAAGATTTCGTCGTCGAGACCGTGAGCTTGAGGCAGCGCTCGACCATGTCCTGGAAGAAACTCGTGCCACGCGCTGCTGCTGCTGCAAGTGCTTCCCCAGAAAAATCGGAGGCAGCGATGATCAAGTCGTCAATGTACAGATGAAGCCGCAATCAGGGCCACCTCCAGGTCGCAATGAGCATGCGCTCATGCACCAACATCTGGAGCCCGAGCGTGCCGGAACCAGATCCCGCCGTGAGGCCGCGGGTGGCGACGAGTGCAACCACGACAGAAGTCCCATCCACACCGATGGCCAGGGCAAAGCGGCAGGCTGCAAGCGGCAGGCGAAGTGTGCTCAAGTCGAAGCCCAGACGCGCCGCGGCCGCAGCGGCGAGGTGTTGCGGCACCCGTTCGTCGGGCGTCGCTGGGGGGGGGGCGACAATGGAGGCGGGAACATAAATGCACATCTCGGGCCGTAAAGGTCCCCCTTGCGGGGCCCTGCACGGCCCCTTTACAGGGGCCCATACAGGGCCCCCTCTTCTGCGGCACTTGCCTCCTCCTCCTCCTCCTCCTCCTCCTCCTCCTCCTCCTCCTCCTCCTCCTCCTCCTCCCCCTCCTCCCCCTCCCCCTCCTCCTCCTCCTCCTTGCCTCCTCCCCACTTCTCGCTCCTTCGGTGCTCGACGCCGCGCAGTTCGAGCGCCTCCGGGAGGGAGGCACCGCGCGCCAGCGCGCGGAGGCCGCCCCAGACCTCGGCGGCAGGGGCGGCGCGCCCTGGCGCGCTGCGCGCTGCGCCCCGCGACCAGCGCTGCCGCACACCGGCGGGAGAGCGTCTGATCCGTGAGGCGGATCCGGCGAAAGATTTTGTCCATTCAACACTGCCCAACAGGTGATCTGAGGGTAAAAGGAAGAGACAAAACAAAGAGGCCCTCGACACGGGAGGACGCGCGACAACGAACCCACCAGAATTAGGCGGGTAGCACTGCCGCTAGCAAGATCCTGCCCGTGGGGCGCCGGCGAAAGAGGCGCAGAAGAGGGGGAGGGAGGATAAAAAGGCGGAGGTGGAGGCCGCCCACAGGTTGGGAGGCAACTACTAGGAGGTCTTCTTGAATCAAGGTAAGCTGGGTTGAACCCAGCACGAAGCTGGATACGCGCGATGAAGCGGGCAATGCTGGCAATACTAGTGCCGATGCTGAGTTTACCCTCGAAGAAGTTGCATCCAAACAAATGGGGCCGCATGCATCGGCGACGCTGTGATGGAGAACATCGGGATCAGGATCGCGGCGCGTCGCCGATACATCGACGATGTAGCGTGATTCTCCGAACCCATCAAATTCGGCAAATTTGGGGCGGCCTGGAGAAGGGGCTCCAGACATCCAAAGACTCAATGTGTTAAAGTCTCGGGGCACCGGACCTTTCAACCCTTTCCATGTGGCAGGTTTTTCATCTGGGGTTGCCGTTCAACAGTCCTTGTGAACAGGACGGTATGGGGAGGGCAAATGCACATCAAAAATTAGCCTGGCGAAGAACCCAAGCAAATGCAATTGTGAATACCGCAGTTGTGGGTGTCGTCTTCCGTGGAGCTCCCTCCAGGGCCGCGAAACGCTGTATTGGGCGGGGAAGCCGCATGCGAGTTCCAGCACTGAGACCATCGGTGGAGCTCACTCTGGGGGCACGAAACGCTGTACTGGGTGGGGGAGCCACATGCGGACTGCGCCACTGGGACCTTCAGTGGAGCTCCCTCTGGGGTCACGGAATGCTGTACAAGGTGGTAAAAAGCCTGCGAGCTCCGCCACTGGGACCTTCGGTGGAGCTCCCTCCGAGGCCACGAATGCCTGTACTGGGTGAGGGAACCGCATGCGGAATGACTGCGCCACTGAGACCTTCGGTGAAGCTCCCTCTGGGACCACGAAGCGCTGTACCGGGTTGGGGAACCGTATGCGGAATGACTGCGCCACGTGGACCATCGGTGGAGCTCACTCTGGTGCCACGAAACGCTGTCCTGGGCGTGGGAACCGCATGCGGACTGCGCCACTGGGACCTTCGGTGGAGCTCACTATGAAGCCACGACGCGCTGTACTGGGTGGGGAACCGCATGCGAACTGCGCCTGCGCCACTGTGACCTTCAGTGGAGCTCCCACTGGGGCCACGGAATGCTGTACAGGGTGGGGCGACCGCATGCGGACTGCGTCACTGGGACCTTCGGTGGAGATCCCTCTGGGGCCACGAAAGGCTGTACTGGAAGGTGGGGGAACCGCATGCGGACTGCGCCACTGGGACCTTCGGTGGAGCTCCCACGAAACGATGTACTGGGTCGGGGAACCGCATGCGGACTGCGCCACTGGGACCTTCAGTGGGGCTCCCTCTGGGGCCACGAAACGCTGTGCTGGGCGGAGGAACCGCATGCGGACTGCGCCACTGGGACCTTCGGTGGAGCTCCCACTGGGGCCACGAAGCGCTGTACTGGGTGGGGGAACTGCATGCGGACTGCGCAACTAGGACCTTCGGTGGAGCTCACTTTGGTGCCACGAAACGTATACTGAGCGTGGGATCCGCATGCGGTCCCCTCCTCTGGGACCTTCGGTGGAGCTCCCACTTGGGCCATGAAACCCTGTACTGGGTTGGGGAACCGCATGCGGACTGCGCCACTGGGACCTTCGGTGGAGCTCCCTCTGGGGCCACGAAGCGCTGTACTGGGTGGGGGAACCGCATGCGGACTGCGCCACTGGGACCTTCGGTGGAGCTCACTATGAAGCCACGACGCCTGGGTGGGGAACCGCATGCGAACTGCGCCACTGGAACCTTCGGTGGAAGTCCCTCCAGGGCCACGAACCGCTGTACTGGGCGGGGGAACCGCATGCAGACTGTGTCACTGGGACCTTCGGTGGAGCTCCCTATGGGACCATGAAACGCTGTGCTGGGTGGGGGTACCGCATGCGAACTGCGCCGCTGGGACCTTCGGTGGAGATCCCTCTGGGGCCACGAAGCGCTGTACTGGGTGGGGGAACCGCATGCGAACTGACTGCGCCACGTGGACCTTCGGTGGAGCTCACTCTGGTGCCACGAAACGCTGTCCTGGGCGTGGGAACCGCATGCGGACTGCGCCACTGGGACTTTCGTTGGAGCTCTCTCTGGGGCTCCGAAACGCCGTTCTGGGTGGGGGAACCGCATGCGGACTCCACTGGGACCTTCGGTGGAGCTCCCTCTGGTGCCACGGAACGGTGTACTGGACGTTGGAGACGCATGCGAACTGTGGAGGAAGGAGGAAGGAGGAGGGACGCGGAGTGCTGTCTCTTCAAAACGAAGACCCCACACCACATGATGGTTGGGAAAAACACCTCGAAGCTCACATGTTCTGATCACGAGCCTCTGGAGGTCTGGGCCACCACGAGGGCCAGGCATCCACTGGAGTAGGTCTTTGTTTTTGAGCTCGGCCTCTGACGAGTCAATCTCGCAACAGGCCGTTGAGCCAGGGGCCAGCCTCCTCCTTGAGCAGCCGCAGCTCCGCACGGCCGGCCCTGAGCTGCACCTCGGCGGCACCGGGCACGACGGCATGGCGCAGGGGCGCGAGCCGCAGTACCCAGCAGGCCACGCCCGCCGCGCCCGGCGCCCTGGGCGCCGCGATGTGCAGCTCCACCGCCGTGCTCGAACCAGGGTCGAACTCCACGCGCAGGTGGCCAGCGGCGCTCGACACCGCCGAGGCGGCGCCCGGGTAGAGGCCGTCGTCCAGCGGAACGCGGACCGAGACCTGCGGAGCTGAGGTGAGACAATGGCCCCTCAAAGTCGGTCCCGGGGCCCCTCGCGGGGCCCCTCGCGCATCCGTTTTCCGAGCTGCGTTCGGCCGTGGCGACGAGAGGGCCCCCGAAGGCCGATCTCAACTCGCCGTGCTCCGAAACCTGCCGCTCGCCGTCCGCCACCGAGTACGTGCGCACCGGCAGGCGCTCCGCGCCAGACGGGGCCGCGAAGGCGACCGATGCTCGCTGCAGCCGTTCCGCCTGGCGCCCCTCCTCGGTCGCGCAGGCCTCACGCGCTGCCTGCAGGTGCGCCTCGGCCTCCTCTGGGCGGATCCTCGAGAGAACGTCAGCCAGGCTCGCGTGGATCCTCGCGCGCAGCAAGGTAGCACCCTCGCCCACATCACGCTTGGATGCAAGAGCCTGGAGTGGTAGGGCTTCGGGGGGCTGCTCACAGATAGCCCACCCAGGTAGTTCCAGCTGGCCTCAACGAGATCCCCGATCAATCCCAGCTGGCCTCAACAGTGCGCGCCTGGGCGCCTGGGGCGCTCAGCGCCCCAGGGTCGGGGAATCGACGCCCTGGCTACTCGGGGTGCCGTTGAGAGGCCGTCTGAGACTGCCTGGGTGGGCTGTCAGCTCGCAGCTCGGAGCCTTACCGGCCTGGAGGCCGTGCCGAAGAAGCACCTCAGCCGCCTCGTGCATGCCGAGCCCGGCATTGGCTCCTGCCGCGAAGAGGCACGCCTCCGGCTGCAGTAGCGGCGACGCGGCGGAGGCCCCCTCCAGCACTTCGACGGCCATCTCGTAGCAGTTGGCTCGAAGCTCTGGCACCTTTACAGGCAGAAGTGTTACCCAGCGCGGACCTCACGCAGGTGCAGGTGTGCAAGCTACCCATGTGGCGCAAGCTGTGAGATGTAAGCTATTCGGTGCATGTTATGAAACATATAAACATGCATCTGCGTAGCTACGTGCGGATCTCTTGGATCGTCGCCAGACCGCCTCCCTGGCGCGCGGAGCGCCTAAGGGGGCGGCCCCAGAGGCGCCGCCAGGGAGATCCAGCGCCGACCCAAGAGATCCGCGCGGAACTCCGACAATTTCTGCTTATGTTGTAGTCTTCTGTTTCGCACCTTGCCCTCCAGCGCGTGCCCGACCTGCAGCAGCAGCCGCGACCGCTCCGCAGGGTCCGCCGCGCGGCCCGTGCACTGCAGCGCGGTGCTGACCACGGACGCTAGGTGCTCCGGGTCAGCACCGCCGTCGTGGAGGCGGGCGACCTGTGCGGCCACCGCGCCCACCAAGCGCTCGTCGGAGTCCCCGCGCCTGGCGGCGGGGGCGCCCGTCAGGCCACGGCACTCCTCCGCGAGGGCGGCGATCCGCTCGTCCAGCGAGTCCTCGGCCGTGGAGCCGGGACGGCCCCCCACCGCCACCCCGCTCGTCCCTTGACATGGCGCGCCGCTGGAGGAGGCCGGGGCCAGGGCCGCCCACGACACCGTCAGGCGCCCGCGCTGGCGCGAGAAGTGGCACGTGGCCGAGGGCACGTCGATGAGGGGCACCCCTGGCGGCAGCAGGAAGGACAGCGGCGGCCGCGGCCCCGCCGCAGAAGCGAACGAGATGCGCACCTCGCCGGCGTTGAGGTCCAGCGCGAAGTCGTCTGGCCCCACTCCGCCCAGGTCAGCTGTCAGGCGCCAAGCGTCATCCTCTCGGGGGCCATTTGGGGAACGCCCAAGTGCAATCACATCCATACTTTGATCCCAACCGATACTGCGACACAGGCGAAGCATTCTGGGGACAGCTTGCTTGCTGGGACACTTAGTGGTGAAGGATTGTTCTGGGCGAAACTTGCTTGCGGGGACGCCCTGTGGGGAAGGAGAAGGGCAAGCAGGTGCGAGAGGGAAGAAGGGGGGACAGGAGAGGGGAGACAGGCAAGCTGGGTGCGCTCGCGCCATATCTGACAACCTACCCGCCCGACCCATCCTCACACAGTGCGTTGATGTTCAATATATGCGTCGATGCGTGTCATAGCGGACCTGGACCTCCGAGATGTTAAACGCAATCGAAAGAGGAGGGGAGCTGCGTACAGTGGAGGAGGCGAAACATTAGAAGTAGGATGAACAGGGTGAAGAGGAGTAGAATGAGGAAGGAGGAGGACGAGGAAGAACAGCAGCAGGAATAGGAGCGTGAGAAACTTGAGGAGCAAGATGACCAGGGTAAGTCGGGGGGGAGGAGAAAGGAGCGGGGCGAAAATGATGAGGAAGCGCTCGGATCCAGAAAAGTGGCCAGCGCTGGGGCGAGAGCGCCATTCTTAACCACGGGTGCCCGATTTAATGAGGCCAGCGCTAGAGCAAAACCACCATTTGAAAAACCGCAAACGATCGGATCGCAATCGAAGCGTCGAAACATATACTGGCACAGGAACACACGGAGTGGGCCGAACACCTTACGGACAGAGTCAAAGGACAGAGAAGAGTAGTATGTATGATCTGTAACTGTGGAAAGGGAGGGCGGAGGGAATGGGAATTAGGAGCGATGGGACGAGAGGGAGAAGGGTAGGGAAGAGAGCGAGGAGAAGAGGGAGAGGGCCCAGAAACCAGCCCCCAAGATTCCTCGCAGGATTCCTCGCAGAACATTTGACACCGTGTGCCCTTTTCACCCCACAGGTCGGCCTCGAGGCTGTCGACGCCGTTCCCCCGGGATCCGGTGTCCGCCGCGTTTCGTGAGATGGTGACCCCGAGGACCCAAGAACGGCCAGTGCAACCCGCAACAGCGAGATCGGAACTGAAAGCGCCCAGCGCATTCTTCCTTCAGGTTCGCGGCGCTGGGAGATCTGGGTCAATTCCGCCCGAGTCCCACGCACCCGACGTCGTGACTTTTTCACAAGGTCCCCCCCTGGAGTTCTCGACCTTTCCCCTGAGGCTGAGTTTCCATCGAGATGGACTTTTTTGACAAGCCCAGGGCCCGGCGAGGGCCCCCATCCCGTCGTGATTTTCACGACGCGAGGGGGGCCAGGGCCTCTTGGCATTAGAGGACAGCGGGCCCTGAGGAGTGGCCCTGGGCCCAGGGAGCCCGAAAACAAAAAAAAAAAAAAAAACGCAGAACCTTGAGGTCCGACGTTGCAAAAACTTGCAGCACCGCACAAGACACACAACCAGAGCCCTATAGACCCGATGTTTCGACGGCATGTTCCGAGCCGTATCGATCTGTACTGGTCCTGGGGCCTGGCACTGGGCGCAAAAGCCCGGTGTGGCAAGATCGCGACGCGCGGATCTCAGGGGACTCGCTTCCCAGAAGACCCCGTCTGACTCCCCGCGGGTCTCTTCGCCCGGGGCCGCCTTGCCGCGCCGGTCTGCACCTCCGCCGCCGCCGCCGTCCCCGGGGCGGCGCAGGCGGAACACCGTGCGGTCGGCCGCCATCACACCCCCGCGGGCTCGGGGGGGGGGCTCCGCGGAGGGGCCCCGGCTGCAGCCGCTGCGGAGCAGGAGATCTCCCTGAGAGCTGGGAGCCGCATCGCACCTTTGCCGCGCCCGGCGCGCTCGCCCGGCCTGGGGCCACGAGGGCCCGCACAGAGCGAGCCGGCTCGAGGGATACGCCGCAATGAAAAAGAGGAGGAGGAGGAGGAGGAGGTCCGATGTCCTGACCTTGGTGACACGCGGCCCCAGGAAGTCCCGGCCCTCTCCCCAAGTGAAGGCAAGGCAAGGCGAGGCGGTCTGCGTGCCAGCTCCAGTGCCGCAGCGGTCTCCTGGAGGACAGACGAGTTGCTCATCTCGAAGGGTAAGAAAGGGTGGGATAGCAAAGGGTACGGTAGAGAATCGGCTCACGTAGCTGGTTTTCCTGGCGCTTCCTGGCGCCAGGGAGATGCCCACAGGAATGGGCCCGGCGGCGGGGCAAAACTCAGCTCCATGCAGCAAATTTCGTACACCCGATCATCGCGAGCCGTGTCTCGACGGTCCCGAGGCGCGGCGAGGGTCTCTGGAGGCAGAACGCGGCTGAAAACCTGCGTTGGATCCCATGCGAGAACTAGACCAAGCCCGGACGAGGCGAAAATCGAGTGAGGATACGAAGATCGAGATTCTCTGCGATCTGGCGGCTCTGGAGGAAGTCTCGGACGTCGCGGGCTGCTCATAACGTTCCCGAACGCTCAGAGAGCGTTCCAGAACGCTCTGGAGCGGATGGTTACTCGTCCTCGCCCCGTCCGAGAGGAGGATGGTGTCGAGGGCTCTGGTCGTGATGTCCTGCGATGCGTAAATGTTTTCACAAAGTCGGATCTTAGGGGAGGGCCGCGGCCGCTCTCGGGCAACGGCCTGGGCCTGCAGATGGCCGCTCGGGGCGGCCCCCACGGCCCCCGGGATGCCCCCGACGATCTCCGAGGCGCGGCTGCCAGGGCGCGCCCTGGGATTCTCGAAGACCTCAGAGGGACCGCAGATAAACTTCCAGAGCCTTCCGAGAAGCTTCGGGGATGAGGCAAGCACTGGCATCCTCGCGTCGTGTGCACAAGAGCCACGACGGGTGTGCCCTGGCCGTGTTCGGCCTCCGGGGGCCCCTTGAGGAGGAGGATGCCTTCTTCAGGATGCTTCCTTCCGGCTGCTCCGCTCGTCTGGCTCGGCAGTCTTCGGCCCTGTGCCCCCGGCTCTCGGCCGGTGTGCGCCCGTGGCCGCCTCGGTGGCTGCCCGGCGGCTCCAGAGCTTCGGGCGGTCGCCAGCGTGGCCACGTCGTGGCCGCGTCGTGCGCTGGCTGGAGGCTCATGCAGGTCCCCTCCCCAGGCCAATCGGTCGGAAGGAGCGGGTCGACACATGAAGCAGGAGCGCGCTGAGCGCAGAGCGGGCTTCCGCCCGCCCCCTGCAGAGGAAGGAAGAGGGGAACACCACTCGAGGACTAGCGCGGGAAGGCGTCTGCAGCCAACTGGAATCTGGGAGTCAGACACTGGGTTTGCAACTTTTGCCTTGCTTAACATGTCGCGGCGTCGGCCTCGGCGACACGCTATGTCCTGCAAGCGGACAGTTTATCGCTCCGCTCCACGGGGCGGGAGGCTGGGAAAAGCTCGGGACGCTGACATTCGGGGACGGGAACGTGGCTAGCGTGTCGCGCCAAAGGGGCGGTAGGCAAGAACCGGCGGAGCGACACGCGCCTAAAGACGGTTGGAATATGGGACTCAGAAAGTACCTGCTATCAAGGATCGATGCATACCTCCCTGGAGGGCCGCGACCTCGGCCTCCCACCAATTATTCCTGTGCAGTGTGGTGCAAAGACGACGTCGGACGTCGTCTCCTCCTGCAGCTGCTGCTGCTGCTGCTCCTCCTCCTCCTCCTCCTCCTCCTCTTCCTCCTTCTCCTCCTCCTCACGTCCCTACTCCTCCTCATGCTCCTTCTCCTCGTCCTAGCGAACAAGGTCGGCGGCACCGGTCATAGTCGGGCTGCTGAAAGAAGGAGCGCTAATTCACGAACGAAGCCCCTCGTTGGCCTCAGAAGCGCCTGCGTGGACGAGGAGCGCTCGAGAAACGGCCATGTAACAAACTAAAGGAGCACTGAGCCCCCTCATAACCAAAACTGTTCCTTCTCGGCGTCATGGTCATAAGGCCTCGAGAATATCTGCCTCCAAGCGACCAACGTGCACGCTCCCTGGCAAGGCCGCGTCCTCGGAGTCCACATCCAGGCCCTCGCGCCATCCAACTCCCTCTCCTCCTCCTCCCTCTCCTCCTCCTCCTCCTCCTCCTCCTCCTCCTCCTCCTCCTCCTCCTCCTCCTCTCACCTCTGTTCCTCGTCCTCTTCCTCCATCTCCTCTTCCTCTTCCTTCTCCTCCTCCCCCTCCGCCTCCTCGTCTTCCCCATTGAAAACCCGAGCCCGAACTCGGCGCGGCTTCCCATGTGCTCGCTACCCCAGACATGCAGAGTCTTGACTTTTTCAATGCGGCGTCCGCGGGAGTCCCAACCAATTCCCCGGGACCGGATTTTGAGCCTGAGTCGATGTTTGACGGTCCAGGGCCATGGTGAGGGCCCCCCGAAGCTGAAAACTACCAAAAACCGCCCGTCCTGATTTTTTGCACGACACGAGCATATCTGGGCCGCCTCCTCCTCCTCGTCCTGGCGAGCAGGGCCGCCGTCGCCAGCCGCAAGGCCCTCGCAGCACGCAGCACCTGCCTCCGACGACCGTCGTGCACCCCCCCCCGCGAGCAGGGGCCGCGTCCTCGGCGTCCCTCTCCAGCCCCATCGCCTCCCCGCCCAGTCCTTCTCCTCACAGGCACCATCTCCCTGTCGCACACCGAGGCTGGTCGAAAGGGCGGGCTAGGCGTTCTGCCTGAGACTTCTTCACCGCACATGATCCAGAAGCAGAACGCGCTAGAGTTTTGCAGAAGGAGGGCAGGTGGCTTTCAAACTGTGGATCTCGCATGATCACCGCGCGCATTCGTTGTACCAGAACTGTGAGAGCTTCACGGATGCAGGGCAAGCCGATATCAAAATGTGGCCCTCGCCTGAGCGCCGCGCGCACCCGTCTAAAAACGCAATGGTTCCACGGATGGAAGACGGCTCCTTTTCAAAATGTGGCTCTCGCATCAAACGCAGCGCACATTCGTTTAAGATCTCACATCAGCTTTATATATTCCCATCGCTAACGTACCAGAATTTGTGTTTCGGCGCGCTGACGGGGTTTTCAGGGCGCAACAAATGTGTTGATTCGTGGTGTTAAAATCCCAGGAAGGGTGTTCCGACACGATTGAGGGCCGGCAATTCGCAGCGTTGCCAGGACTGGTGTTCTGGCATAGTAGTGTATTATTAAGCGACTGTGCTGCAAGGAGGCACTTCCTTCAGAGGGCATGTATTCTTGTAGGCGCCTCTGAAGAGGGAACTCGAAGGGAGGGTTTATGACAACATCGTTGATGAGTCTTGTGTTTACGCTGGTCCTCCTCCTCCTCCTCCTCCTTCTCCCTTCCTCCTCCTCCTCCCCCTCACGTCCCTCCTCCTGGTTCCTGGTTCCTGGTGCCTGCATGGTCGTTCAGACGAAGCCTCCTGCCTCCTCCGACTCCTCTGGCTCCTCCTCCTTCTCCTCCTCCTGCTCGTCCTCCACCTCCTCCTCATCCTCCTCCTCCTCCTCCTCTTCCACCTCCCTTTCCTCCTTCTGCTCCTGCTACTCCTCCGCCTCCTCCCGTCCCTCCTCCTCCTGATCGTTCTCCTCGTTCTAGCGAGCACGGTCGGTGGCACTGGCCGCAATGCCTTCGCACCTGCCCGCCTCCAGCGGCCGTGCGGGGGCATCCCCACCGACCGAGCAAAAGGCTGCGGCCTCGGCGTCCCGCTCCAGGCCCTCGCGCACCTGCAGGGCGACCTCCTGTCCGCTCCACCTCGCCCGCTGGACACGGGGGGTCGCCGGCGTCGTCGGCGTCGATCGTCGATCGAAGGTAGGGGAGAGGGGCGGAGAAGGAGGAGGAGGAGGAAGTGGAGGAGGATGAGGAGGAGAAGAAGGGGGAGGAGGAGGAGGAGGAGGAGGAGGAGGAGGAGGAGGCGGAGGAGGAGGAGGAGGAGGAGAAGGAGGAGGAGGGAGGAGGAGGAGACGAGTGGACGGAGGAGGACGAAGAGGAGGAGGAGGAGGAGGAGACTGGGCGGAGGAGGGGGAGGAGAAGGAGAGTGGGCGGAGGAGGAGGAGCAGGAGGAGCAGGAGGAGGAGGAGGAGGAGGAGTGAATGTCCCATGAGGGGTCCTTGTTCACCTATGCCTTTCGCAATCGCTAGAAGACTCTCGCACGGCCGGATCCAGCTCGGAATGCACATCAGAACGCGAGCCATGCCACCGGAGCTCACCGTCGTCGTCGGCGGCAACGTCGGAGGCATCTGGGCTTGCGACTGTCACAACAACAAGGGAGGAGAGAGAGTGAGAAAGGACTCAACGCCTATCCTCCACTACGCTGCCCTCACTATCCAGCCGATCTGGCGCAATAGCCCCTCCTCGCTCAGGGGCTGCGTCTGGGCGGATGGCGAGGCAGGCGGCGGATTAAGCAATGCGGACAGAGCGCTCGGGAAGCCTTTCGCGACCACTTCCTGCAACAAAGCTGAGGGACCACGTACCTCCTTTCTCCTCCTCCTGCTCGACTGAAGCTGCTCTTCCTGGCCCTGCTGGTCATCCTGTTCCCCCTCCTGCTGAGCGCCATCATTCCTTGAGCGAGGACGGGAAGGACGACGAAAACGAGTAATGGACTCCGAGAAACAGAATACGCCAACTGCTGCGAAGCGTTGTCCGGGACTGCCTCAAACCAGGTCGGCGAGGCCTTCAACTTCTGCTGGTTACTGTGTGAAGAGGCAGCGAGGCACGCCAGTTGTCTTCGACACGTTGTGGCGGGCGAGAACACAGAGGACGAGGCAGGACGAGGAGATCTCCACGCTCGGTTCACACAGGTGCACCTGGGAGCCCTGCCCGCCCAGCGCAGCGCCGCCGGTGACGAGTCAACCCTGCTGGGAGAGGCTAGCCCTCCTCCCCCCCTCCTCCTGGGAGCTTGGGGTCGGCGGCAATGGTGTCACCATGACGCCGCCATCGGCGTGCGCGGCTGATCAAAGTGAAGACTGCGAAACTGAAAATGGGGAAGACGCGGCCGACGATGTACCCCCCCCCAGGGCGCCCCCCAGGCGCGGGGTGGCCAGGTACCCCTGCGCCCTGGGGTGGGTGGGTGGGTGGGAGAGAAGAGGATGGGGAGGCATGGGTCCCAGAGAGGCGAAGAAGAAGCGGTGACAGTGTGCAGCAGCGCGGCGGCGCGGCAGTGGCGCGGGCGTGCCGCCGAGGCCACGCTCGCCCGAGGGCGACAAAGGGTCAAGGCGCAAGGGCCTCCTCTCCTGCCCAATGGGCAGCCCTCCAGCCAGCCCGCAGTCCCGCGGCGGGGGCCTTCGCCGGACGAGGCAGGCGCAAGGCACCCGCGCGCCACAAGATTCGCCTTGTGGCCGCGACGCTGTGGGAGTGAGGGCGTGGCCACAGTCGGCGAAGGGGATGGGGC